GTTTCACCCGTCGGGTGCCAGCCGCGTGCTCGTACACCTGCCGCGCGCCAGTCGCGTACCCGCTCACCTGTCTGGCGCCGGTCGCGTGCTCGGGGGCCCAGAGAGTCAACCAGCCAGCCACCCAACCAACCATCCATCCAACCATCCAGCCCAACAGTCAATCCGCCAGTCAACCAACCAGCGAGCCAACCAACCAACAGCGAACCACCCAGACAATCAGGGAAGGGCGCCGGTAACATATGGAACAACAGTTTAGACAATGTCAAGACAGTTCGCGCCCGCCTGCCATTCGCAGATGCGTTGAGCGTGGATCCGTCGAGGCACGAACAACCCACGGGTGACATCGGTGGAGCGGCAAAGCCTTGTATCAAGGACTGCCGGGTGAGAGCCATCAGCGGTACTTGATCACTTGCGGGCGCAATCGGCACGTCGTAGCAGGGGCCAGGCGATGCATACACACAGAACGCTACACAATACAAAATTCACCCTGGAAGCAACCCGACCACAAGACGGATTGGTTTTCGAGTTGCAAAAGCCCACATGGATTTCACCCTAAGCTCTCCACCCTAAGAAAATGTTAAATTCCTCGTCCTCGTCCTAGGGGAAGGCACCAGGGTCTAGGACCCGTTTCCATCAGCCGTTGTCCCCCTGTGAACCCTTCGCGTCGTGAGACAAGGCACGGCTGGCAGTTTGTTGTTCGCGCTCTTCGGCTTCCCTGGGCCCTGGCCGGCTCCCCCCCGGGGCCGTCAAAGCAGCGGCTCGCGGGGAAGACCTGATCCCGGGGAAGGGGTCGAGGCCTCCGGGGGACAGCGTGAAGAGTCGTGGCGCCGGGGGGGTCTGGGGGGCCTTGCCCCCTGCCCCTTCTCCCAGGTGCGACCGAGAAGGGGGTCAGGACGTGGTCATCACAGCCGGGGCCACTGGTCCCCGAGGCCCGTCCTAGGACGGGCCTCGGGGACCAGCTCGAGGCTCTCGCAGCGCGCCGGGCCCCCCTCCCTTGGCCTCCTGCCTCTTGCCTCTCGCCGTCGTGCTCCCCTCGCCGCGCCTCCAGGGCGACAGCTCTTCGAGCGGGCGGATCGTGTGCGAGCCAGCTCGCGCAACAACAAAAAACTGCCGGGGCCACTGGTCCCCTCTTCTTCTCTCCTGGCCCCCCCCCCGCGTCCGCGCGGACATGGCTTCGGTCATGGCCGCCTGTGGCGTCTCCCAGGCACCCCTGGGCGCGTGGGAGTGCACCGTGCCCCGATCTCCGACGACATGATGGCACGAATCTCTAATCTCGACGCTTATCCTCGATTTGGGCTTCTGGGGGCTCCAGGGTCAGTTTACGTTGACCCAGGACACAAAACTGGCCCGTCGGAAGGGGTCGGGACCTCTGGGGCCGCGCATTGGTACACGCAGCCAGCCTGCTGCTTTCGTTCCGAGGACCGTCGAAGGGCCACGACACCCGTCAAAGACCGGCGAATACGACAGAAAACCGCCAGAAGACCGTCGAGCATCGCCGAATATTGCATACCCAGACATCCTTCGATTTTTTGTTCCAGTTCGTGGCCCCAGAGCTCGCGACCCTTTCCTGGGGGGTAGTTTTGCGTCCACGACTCGTTTGTGATGACCCTGGGGCCCGAAAGAGGCCCTTGGGGGCAGAAATGAGGGAAAACGCTTTATTCGAGAACCAAATCGCCGGATATCCAGGTAAGGCGGAGGGGTAGCAGGTGGCACGCGTGCCCTGGCACTTGCACGATCAGCTAGCGAAGGGGGCCAGGGCCAGGGGTAGGCCGAGGGAGGGTCAGCCACGCGCAGAGGGGGGTAGGGGGGGACTGGGGAGGGCTTCTTCGAAGCACCCCGGCTTTTTAGAAGGCGGCGGGCCTTACCTACAGATGAAGGGCCGGCGCCTTCTAAGACGCGGCCTCCTTCGTAGAAGCCTTCTCCCCTCCCCCTCTCGCCTGGTGCACGCCGCCAAGAGCTGGGGAGCGACGACGACCATCTCCATGAGAATAACGTGCTGCAGGGCGGGGTAGAGAGAGGAAGCTGGGGCCAGTGCCAGGTGCAGGCCAGTGGAGGGGGGGGGGGCGACCGACGCCCACCACCACAAGGAGAATTGCTTTCAGCCGCGCGCAGAGGGGGGGCAGTGGGGAGGGCTTCTTATGGGCATCCCTTCGTCTTCGAAGGCACGGGCCTTCCCTATAGATGTAGGGCCGGCGCCTTCTGAGAAGCAGCCTCCTTCTCAGAAGCCTTCCCCCCTCCCCCTACCCCCTTGTGCGCGCGCCGCCAAGCACCTGCATCTAGTTTCATTCGAAGACGAAAAAATCGCCATAAACAGAACTGTTGGCGCTCCGCGCAGATTTCTTGGATCCGCGCTGGGCCCCCGCGGCGGCGCCTCCGGCGCCGCCCATGGCGCGCGGAGCGCGCCAGCTGGGTGGTCCAGCGCAGATCCAAAACATCCGCACGGAGCGCCAAAAGTTTATGGTCATGGCGTTGGTTATTTTTCTATGTGCGGCACTTCTGGCCGTCTGTTTTTTGAGCGGCCGAGTGCTCCAGAGGGGGGAAGTGGGGGGTTGTTGATGCGGCGCGCGGCTTCGCCGTGTGCGCTCTCGCTGTGCGACGGCGGGCCTTCGTTGGAGCCGAGAGGGCTTATCGATTTTGCGCCACCGCCCGCCAACAGCACAGAAAGGGTAAAGAGAACGTCGAAGAAGAAGAAACGCCATGAACCGAAACTTTTGGCGCTTCGCGCGGGTTTCTCGGATCTGCGCTGGAGGCCCCTGCCCTGGCGGCACCCCCGGCACCGCCCCTGGCGCGCTCCGCGCGCCAGGGAGGGGGGTCCAGCGCAGGTCCGAGAAATCCGCGCGGACCTCCAAAAGTTTATGCTTATCCCGTTATTTCTTCCTTCTTTTAGAACGGGCGCGAACCCGAGGGGCACACCGCAGCGGCGCCAGCGGCAGAAACTGCCACCGCAGTGGGCAGGGCAAGCCGAGACACTACTGCGTCCTGCGGCCCCCGCTGCGGTGGGGGTGAGGGGGGGGGCGGGGAGGGATTGCGGGGCGGTGCAGTCGGCCCTGATTAGTAGGTCGACCCTGCCAAATCAAGGGTACTCCGAACTTCTTATACATGAGAGGGGGGGGGGGACAAACGTGAAAACGCGGCGCGGCCAACCCCCCTTGGCACCACCATCGCGCCCCAGCGGCCCCTGGCACCCTCGCGGACGCGCCGTGGCCAACCCCCCCCGGCACTCCAAGGGGGGGCGATTATTGAGCGATCCAGAGTGCCCTTGTGTCCTGTGTTTCGCGACCCATGCCTCCAACCTTCCTACCGCAGTGGGACCCTCGCAAGGGCCTTGTGTTAAGTCGGGTCTGTTCCTCCACAGAGGGAATATCCAAAAATTGGTAGAACAAATTGTATGGGGACTATTTTTTGAGTATTGTTGGGCATCTTTTGAATATTGTTGGTATTTTTCCCTACCTAGGCTCTGCCTAGAGGGTTCTTACTCTCTTTCTTAAAGGGGCCGGGCAGGGCAGTGTTCCTCGCCCCGGGCGGTTCCCCCGGTCCCCGCCCCGCGGTTCCCCCAGTTGCGCCCCCTTACTTTAGCTTTGCGTATCTCATCTTAGCTTAGCTTAGCTTAGCTTCATCTTAACTTCGCGTAGTTGTAGCTGTAGCTGTAGCTTAGCTTAGCTTAGCTAAGCTTAGCTTAGCTTAGCATATCGTAGCGTAACCGAGCATACCATAGCGTAGCTTAGTTTAACTTAGCTTAGCCTAACCTAGCCTAGTTTTGCTCAGCTTAGTTTAGTGTAGCTTAGCTGCTTAGCTCAGCTTAGCTTTGCTTAGCGCAGCGCAGCATTAGCATATCATAGCATAGCATAGCATATCATAGCATAGCACACCACCGCCTATCATAGCATATCATAGCATAACGCAGCATATCATAGCGCATCATATCATATCAAATCATAGCATACCATATCATATCATAGCATAGCATATCATAGCTTTGCTTAGCATAGCACATCGCATCATAACATAGCATATACTAGCATATCATAGTACATCATATCAGATCATAGCTTAGCTTAGCTTAACATAACACAGCGCAGCATAGCATAACATTAGCGCAGTATATCATAGCAAATTATAGTATAGCATAGCATGGCGCAGCTAGCATATCATATCATAACATAGCATAGCGCAGCATATCATCTCATAGCCTAACATAGCATAGCATAGCATAGCATGGCGTAGCGCAGCATAGCATAGCATAGCATATTATAGCGCAGCATGGCAAAACATATCATAACATAGCATAGCATAACGCAGCATAGCATAGCATAGCATAGCATAGCAGCGCCGATGATGCACCGATCTGAGAGTTGCTGCTGCTGCACACTTTAGTAGGAACGTTCGGTGTAGCAAGTGTTGCACAACCTTGCTCAATGCCAAGTCGTGCGGTGTAGACCGGATACTGAGCATTCTCAAGCACACCCGGTGAGCGAATGCGAAAACATGCGTGCGTTTGTGTGTCTGTGCGCAGGCAACGCAACAACAAAATCAAGCAAAAGCAAAAACAACAGCAAAGCAAAAGCAACAGCCAACGCAAAAGCAAAAGCAAAGG